AAAAAAAATCAGAAAAGTTGTTTTTAATATAAATGACAAAAAATTATAATCTAAATATTAAAATTATTAAAATGATTTTAATAAAAAAAATTAAATTTAATCACAAATGATGTTTTGTAGTAATTTTAATATTCAAACTACACTTATTTTTGTGCATTTCCATCCTCACAAACACCAATCTCTATAAGAATGATCTAAATTTGCGTATTAGACGTTAAAGCAACAACTTTTCGAACAAAACTGGCTTGATTATGCACTATTTATACTCACAACTATGGTGAGGCCTCTAAATGCATCCAAGGTAGCAACTCTTCTGCTCTTTTGCTTAACTTTCATGGGTGGCACCCCCCCCCCCCTCCCAATTTTTGTTGTTCAACTTCGGCACAGGCACCGCCATCACCTTCTCCGCCTTCAATTTTATCCCCCATTGCATTGTTACCATATTCCTTAGCCACTTGTGAATGGCCGAGCTGTCCTTCCTCCATTTTCGCCACCGGATCCGCCATGGCAACCCTTCTACATCTCTGCTTCAGTGACAGGTAGACCTCTAACAATGCTGAGTAGCAGCGGGAGAAGGGACAGACTATGTTGATCAAGACGGTGCCGGCTTGAGTTTGGCATCATGCTAGATGGGGCTTATATACTCTATAGGTACCTAAAAAAATAATTCAAGAATAATTTTTTTATTATATTTTAATATAATTTTATAAATTATTTAAATAATTAATATTTTATTTATTTAAATTTTATAATATTAAATTTATCTATTTAATTAACAACATATATAAATTATATAAAAAAAACTACACTTATATACATTGCTGTCCGTCTCTAAAAAGCTAGTCTGAGTAAGACAAATGGACGAAGATGACTGGGACAAAAGGTGGGTGTAGTCAGCGGCCATGTCAGGCAGAAATGGCGTCCAGAAATCCAGATTCCAAAGCAACTGTCATAACCATTTCATCTGCCGAGGAATGAATCAGTGGATTAATCAGATGTTTCCATGTTCATGACTCTTATTTTGCTCCTATTGTCCTGTTTTTGCAAGTTTTATTTATGCTGAAGCTTATGTTTAACTTTTATTTTATTAAATTTAAAATTTTTAACTTCTCATATTATATTATAAAAATTTTAACTCTTAAATTTAAAAGTTTAAAAATTTTAATCCATTAATTAAAAAAATTCATTAATTATCTATTAGAGCAAAAATAAAATATTTACAAAATCAGTTCTTAAATATTAAAAATATAACAATTTAATTTCAAAAGTTTAAAATTTAAAAAAATTAATAAATTAAAAAGAATTAATAAATAATTTCTCAAGTACATTAAAACAATATTAAATATCTATAATAAATTAAGTGATTTGCTCAATTTGTAGAAAAAATTTTGACTAAGATTAAAGGAAATTTCTTAACAGAGTTAAGATGAAAATTTTAAGAGTGAAAAAATACGATTAAGAAATTTTCTTTAATATCTATCAAATTTTTTTCTTTAAATTAAACTAATCACTTGATTTGATTGTAAATATATAATATTTTCCTCATGTATGTGGCAAAGACTAACTATTTTTAATTTACTAATTTTTTTAATTTTTAAACTTTTAAAATTAAATTGTTATATTTTTAATATTTGAAATCTGATCTCGTAAACATTTTATTCTCACTTAATGGAGAGTTAATGAATTCTATTAGTTCAGAAACTAAATCTTTAAACTTTTAAGTTTAGGAATTACAAATTTTATAATATAAGATGAATGGTTAAAATTTTTAAATTTATTAAAATAAGAGACTAATTGTGTAATTTAATCTTTTATTTACTATTAGGATTGCTGTAAGGTCGATTAAATTATTATCAAAGCAACTGTCATGATTAACCTTTTTCATCTTACGTGGAATGAATTAGTGAACTAAACAGATGTTTTGATGTTCATGACTATTTTCTCCCTTATGTAGTTTTATTATTTAGGTTACATTAAATTATGAAACACAGACTAAATTATTAAACTACCCTAAACAGTGAGTTTAGTGTTACACATTTTAGATTATAAAATGCTATAAAAAAACACATTTTTTAAATAAAAAGATCTATAATTATGATCAAAAGTTTTTTATTACTAAATAATTAATATTTTATCATTTTAATACAATTTAAATAGTAAAAATTACTTTTCACATGTAAATACTAAATACTCTTCATTCATCGCCTGGAGACTGGTCCTTTGCCAGTGACAGCTGACAAGTATAACCGTGGCCCTGTTAGGCTAATTTGCACTTGCTTACGGTACCGGCCTCCTCCCAGTCCTAATGGCCGAGTGTTTGTCTTCAAACACTCGAGTCATGGATTCCGGGTTAGAAGGTCCAGTGAGCAGAGCAGAAGAAGCACTTGCTTACGGTGCCCTGTGACCCTGACAAAGTTTAGGGGTTTGTGCCTTGTATTAAACGAGGGGGAGTGCGTTGAGGTCAGTGGGCCAACCGTATGACATGGGGTGGTGATTTGGGATTTTGGGTTTTGCCCTTGTAGCAAGGCTGTAATAATGTAAGGTATTGCTGTGGCCTTCCATTTTTTTTTTTTCTAATGTGGAGAATTTTTGAGAGTTGAAGTGTTGAATTACATGTGGATTAATTTAAGCATTTGATTTATTTTTATAAAAAGCCAAAATTAAAATATTTTTCCATTAAAATATTGATCAATAGATATATTACTCCATCCCATTCATTTTATACCTGTAATTGAACGTTTTAATTTTTTGTCTTATATTTTGAAATTCGATCCTTTTCCATTTTAGGAGCCCAAAACAGAAAATGCAGGCCTTGTGGTTGACTTAAGAAGGAGCCAACAATTTGATTCTCCTCAGCATAATAAACTTTCAAGAAGCACCAACCAATCAGTAGA